AATTACATTATCCCTATCAGGGTCATGTGCATTTATGACTTCAAGAGAGTGATATTAGTTCACTTGGCGTTCGAATCTGATCTACTATGTCACCTCCTGGAGGGAGCTATGTTTTCTGTATGTGTCGAATAGGCACATCAGCTAACAATCATGAAATGGTGGAAAATATTTGTTTGCTTTTTGTTAAGCGCAAAGCTACACTATGGATTATTTGTATCCTGCCTATCGTGGGTTCCAAACAGATTTTTAGTGTTAGAAGCTCTCAGACTTACCATTTAGCCACCGGAGGCTGGGAGAAAGAAGATGATGAGAGTCTTCAGTTTCCAAGGTTTGGATGGTCTTCATTCAACCCTTGAAAGATTAAGTCTCGCTTTTCACACGTAGATACCTCGTTGGGTTTGTCTGCTTGACTTCATTTTCTAATTCTTTAATTTTCTAGGACCTGATAATACAGTATCACATTAACATACACAGAATACGCAACCTTCAACGCGTTCGAATTATAGTGATGAGGTACTTATTTTTTCTTCTTGGTTTTCGGTTTCATAATAACCTTAGTAAGAGTAGCAGAAATACCCGCCCTCCGGGCAGGTATAACTGCTAGTTCGTGCGGAAGGCTATGGGGCCTGCGGCCTTTACTGTAATTGTCTGACAGTTTCGCGCAAAGCTACACGAGGACTAGCTGCGCTAGCCATCCCTAATTTAGCAGTGAAAGACTAGAGGGAAGACAGCTAGTCATCACCACCTACCGCCAACTTTTGGGCTACTAATTTTACCAACGAATCGTGACTTTATAACGCCCCCACGGCTGAACGGGCGAACATGTTTGGTGGGTTTAAAAATGAGCTATCATCACAGCATTACATTATAGATTATATTTTATTGAAATACTTCTTTGTAGACGTAGTTATCAATGAAAGTGCCTTGCTTTTCTGTTGCAACACTCATGAGATTTTCACTAAAGAAAAACAAATAATTTTTTTAGTTTGTTTTTGATTGTTTTATATTTGAAACTTACTCTTTTTGTGTGATTTTTATTGGTTAAATCTGAAACTTACTCCTTTTTGTAATTTTTATTGGTTAAATCTGAAACTTACTCCTTTTTCGTAATTTTATTGGTTAAATCTGAAACTTACTCCTTTTTTGTAATTTCTATTGGTTAAATCTGAAACTTACTCCTTTTTTGTAATTTCTATTGGTTAAATCTGAAAAAGTCATTTTTTGTGGAAATTTCAATTGTTTTATTTATTGTTCAGCTATAAAAAATATTACCTAGTTATGATTGGTGATGATCGGTGCGGTAGTTTCCGAGATCCGAGTTTTGGACGTATATATCGCAAGCTCCATTATAAGATGTTTTAGGCGTAACTTAATTTAGAACTCGTCTTTGAGATGACTGTTCTGATGATATAGCAGTGAACAAAGCTTTGAACACAACTGATAAACCAGATGTATTTAATAATTTTTTCTCTTTATGTATATATTTGTTTTACCTAAGACTACTTACTTTATATCGTTTACGAACATAAAGAAATTACAAAAAAGTAACAGTACGAACTAAGCTGTACTAATTACCATGATCGCGTTACATTAGTTGCTTAATAATCCCATACTTCTTATTTTGCTATCAATTCGGTTTATTTGATATGGTTATACGGTATGGAAGATTTAACAATGCAAACATTTCTGGTTTATTTAACGTGGTGAAGGTAAGGAAGATTTAACAATGCAACATTTTGTGGTATATATAATCCAGTGAATGTTGTAAAGTATGGAAGATTTAACAGTGCAACATTTTGTGGTTTCTACAATCCGGTGAACATTGTAAGGTATGAAAGATTTAACAGTGCAACATTTTGTGGTATATATAATTCGGTGAATGTTGTAAAGTATGGAAGATTTGACAGTGCAACATTTTGTGGTTTCTATAATTCGGTGAATTTTGTAAGGTATGGAAGATTTAATAATGCAATATTTTGTGGTATATATAATCCAGTGAATGTTGTAAAGTATGGAAGATTTAACAGTGCAATATTTTGTGGTTTATACAATCCGGTGAACGTTGTAAGATATGAAAAATTTAACAGTGCAACATTTTGTGGTTTATATAATTCGGTGAATGTTGTAAAGTAGGGAAGATTTAACGGTGTAATATTTTATGGTTTATATAATCCGATGAATGTTGTAAGGTATGGAAGATTTAACAGTGTAATATTTTATGGTTTATATAATCCGGTGAATGTTGTAAAGTATGGAAGATTTAACAGTGTAATATTTTGTGGTTTCTATAATTCGGTGAATGTTGTAAAGTATGGAAGATTTGACAGTGCAACATTTTGTGGTTTCTATAATTCGGTGAATGTTGTAAAGTATGGAAGATTTAACAGTGCAACATTTTGTGGTTTCTATAATTCGGTGAATTTTGTAAGGTATGGAAGATTTAACAATGCAATATTTTGTGGTATATATAATCCATTGAATGTTGTAAAGTATGGAAGATTTAACAGTGCAACATTTTCTGGATTATTTTAAGTTTCCCCTAATAAATACATCTATAAAGTATTATCCTAAAAGTTTGTGCAAAGTAAAAAATGTTAATCTTCATCAAGCATGTTATAGTAACAGGTTTTGTGTTTGTTACGGTTGTATGTGTTTTCACGGCTGTTTAGTTGATCACATTTTTGCGATTTTTCAAGTTTTTTGGCTTGGCAAGTTTTGTGGTTCTGATGGTTGTGCAAACTGTCACGGTTGTTTGTGGCTTTGATAGCTGTGTGGTTTGTGAAAGTGGTTATTACTGGTGTTTGTTTTGTCATGGCTGGAATATTATGACGTTATTAAATTACTTCAATAACACATATTTTAAAAGAGCTGAAAGCTAAATGTCTAAAGTAGAAAATATTCGAGGGTTAAGTGAGGACGATTGGAAAACAAAACCAACCAAATAAATAAACGCTAGCTTTAGAAGGAATCATCATGAAAGCTAAAATGGGATGGATAAAAATGTTAAAGAAACAACTACAGTTGTCAAGTTTGCCATAAAATTAAATAACGCGGGTTGGAATACATTATGAGAACTTCTGAAAGTAGACACCATCAAAGAAAGTTTCCCTGTTTCGTTTTAATTAATAGCCTACAAGCCTGCTGGAGAGTTTCCAGACACGATGAATACTTTGACAGAGTTACAAACGTGATATCAGCATGTTGTTGGTATACAGCGATGTAAAAAATGATTGCATCACCCGGTTTTTCACACTTTTCTTCAGAACCATCGTCTGTTTTGAGGCCCTAATGCGAGTAGGTGCAAATGTGTTTCATAGATGATGCAATACTGTCTAATTATTACACCATCCACTTTATAGGCTGTCTGAGTATTGAATCAGCCATTTTCTGGCTATAAATAGAGGTTCTCGCCAAGAGTCAGTTTAGAAATCTATGTGCTACAACATGCATGTGATGTTACCATGGTCAAGGGTTGTGAGTCACTCCACGTAAAAAAGTGCAGTTATCGTTTCTTTGAGCAAAGAGGGACTTCCGACAAAGCAGATTGCTAGAAGAATTCGATTTAATCAGTCTATTGTGAGCCACTGGATACAGATATATATAAAGAGACTGGCTGTGTGAAGTGGCGGAAGAGAAGGGGTAGGAAGAAAGCTTCCACAACTGCCGACGATCGAGTTCAGAAACACATGAGTCAGTAGAGTCGTCGACTGTCATCCACAGATCTCAAAAGAGCATGGAAGAAACTTCAGGGATCACTGTCGTCACACGCACTGTCCAGTCTTGCCTTTTTCAGCCAGTCTCCTAGCAAGATGGCCAAGAAAGAAACCCCTACCAACAAGATGAAGAAGATGATGCTCAATGTGACCAAAGAACATGTTGACTTGACTGAAGCAATGTGGAGCAAAGTGATCCTCTCAGATTAATCAAAGTTCAACCATTATGAGTCTGATAGGAAGCACCTTGTACGTCGTCAATGTGGAGAAGAGTTTCATCCAGTATGTTTAAATGCAACTGTGAAGCATTTGCTGGGTCAGGTGACATGGAGATGCACCTCTGACCAGGATGTAGGACACCTGCATTTTATGAAAGGCACTGTCAATGCCGACAAGTACAACAAGATCCTCGAGTCCAGGTTAAAGTTAACAATTCAGGATCACTTCGGTGGAGCTGACCAGTGGACATTCTAGGATGTAGACGTGACATAAAGAGGAGAGTTCACTCTACGTGTATTGAAAATACATCTTAGGATTTATTTCGTTGCTTCAGGTGAAGGACTATTTTTAAAGGAAGAGGATCAAGACACTATGTTCTCCTGGCAACAGCCCAGATTTCAATTCTATCGAAAACTGCTGGAAGGTGATGGGTAACAAAGTGCGAGAGAAAAACCGAGAAGCACCTTGTGGGGCATCATAAACTCACGCCTGCCTACATTCAGTTCCTCTTGCGCTCTATGCCATGACAATATCAAATAGTTATCAACGCCAGAGGAAGCATAACCAAATACTAAAACAAGAAACTTTTGTCAATTACAGTAGTGTCGTTACCTAGGCTTTCTTACACAGAAAACATTTTCATATTTGCCAATTAATTTTTGATAATCTGCTGTGATACATTTGTTCCAGTTCTTTTATTAATAAAGATGCATGTATGTGTTTGGATGACTGAAATGTGAGTCAGCTTATGCCACATAATATCAGAACTTGCACTATCTCGTTAAAATTACAGGAACCAAGAAAGTGTGAAAGAAAAAAGGTCGATACATTAAATTTTTTACACCACTATATTTTTTATACACTTACGATATGTCCACACCACTTTTACTTATTTTTAGAGGACATATTCATTTTACTAATAAGGGGGGGGGGGGCAGTGAGACATATAATGTTGCCAAGTCAACATTAGGTTAACGGATGATATTTGGTTGAAGGTCAACGATATTTGAGGAGGCCCGTCCCCCATTGTCCGCCCAGCTCTATAAAAAATATTACAAAACAGGAAAGTGCCATGTACAATAACATGTGTTTATTGATGTTTTATCACTTAATACAAAAAATATTATAGCATCACATCGAAATAATCACGACCTAGATAATCATTCTTAGGACTAACTCTGGCATATTTATATTATAGCACTACAAAGACTGGATTTGCTTTCAACACGGCTAAAAATGCATGAGAGAAAACCAAGTAATTAATTCACCAACACTTACTTAAGGTCACGAGTAATTATTGTTAATTATTTTACTCATAGGTAATTATTGCACTGAATAATATTTTCATAATTTAAAACACACAATAAGTTAGACATTCGATTAAGTAAATCAACACAATTTCTCGCTACCCAACTCTATCAAACAATACATAATTTATTTATAACAACATATATAACGTAAATGTCCAACAACGATTAAAAGTCAGGCATAGTTACAGTATTTACTCACATACGTATATAACAATATTTATGTTGAGTACCTAACATCAAAAGGAAAGAAAACGTAACATAATAGGTAATTATTGCACTGAGTAATATTTTCATAATTGAAAACACACATATATAACAATATTTATGTTGAGTACCTAATATCAAAAGAAAAGAAAACGTAACATAATAGGTAATTATTGCACTGAGTAATATTTTCATAATTAAAAACACACATATATAACAATATTTATGTTGAGTACCTAATATCTAAAGAAAAGAAAACGTAACATAATAGGTAATTATTGCACTGAATAATATTTTCATAATTGAAAACACACATATATAACAATATTTATGTTGAGTACCTAATATCTAAAGGAAAGAAAACGTAACATAATAGGTAATTATTGCACTGAATAATATTTTCATAATTGAAAACACATATATATATAATAAAACCTGTGGACAATATGATTAAGTTTTCACAAACATTGAACCAGAGTAAAAATAGCGCTAATGATTTCTTGGATATTTTGAAATCGTTTTTACTTCTTAAAATGCGGAACTCCGCAAAACAGTCTGTCAATGACTGAGATCCTTCTGTCTCTCTAGCTGCGTTCTAGATGTGTCAATGATTATAAAATAACAGAACAACAAATACTGTTTGTTGAATGTGAGTTTATCAACGTTATTTATCAAATCAAAGTAGCAGAACTACGGGCTTTAAAGTGCAGATTTCAATCAAACTGAGCATGCGTGCTAATAACCCAATTACGAAACAGTAATTCCCTTTACTACTGACGCAGTCAGCTTAGACTTTCAATTTGTTTGGGCTACTTGGTATTCAAACGAATACAAATCCTGGCCCTCATGTGTCTACAAAATTAACAGTTTACAGTGCCCGATGAAATATTGTGAACTTAAACAAACAAGCGATGGGAGAAAAGGTCATTATTGCACCTGACCCCCCCCCCTCTCTAACGTCGCTGACCTGAACATTGATAAAGATCTTTGATTCAACTTGGTCCGTCACTGGACCATAAGAAATAACGTCCAATCACAATTCCCCACTTTGCTCTGCGAGTGCCATACCGTGTTTGTGAGTTAATTACGATGCTCTTGGAATATTTTGTCGTTATCTCTGATATTTGTCGTCTTGGGTACAAAGTGAGAAATCATTAAATCGTATATAAAGAGGCTCAAACAATAACTGTCACTCTAGTGGTTGTTTGGAGACCATACGGTCTCATAATTTCTGTACATTAAAATTCATAATTTCAAAAGTTCGGTGTTAATTTCAATAAAAACGTTGAAATTGAAATTACTAGCATTCTGTGGTAAAATGTAAAAATTCAATAACTTTTTACACGATAGAGCAGACACTACATTTATGCTTATGAAGAGTCAGTGTAGGGTTAAAAGGAATTAAGGAACAATTTAAAGGCATTTCAACACTAATAGACAAGCAGGCGTTACAAGACAATGTACTCCTTTCCTCTCTTTATTCAGACATTATGGAATACTGTTCTGTTTCATCAGGCATTATCAGACGATATATTATATTAAAGTAGGCAATCAGGCATTATCATACAATATATTATATTACAGTTGGTAATCAGGCATTATCAGACAATATATTATAATACAGTAGGTAATCAGACATTATCATACAGTATATTACACTCCTTTTGATATCAGGTATTATGGGATACCGTTCTCCGTTTCAACTGGCAATTAAGATATTATTATGGAATGGATTTCTTTCCGGTAGTTATAGACATTATTATTAGACACGGTTCTACATCCCGGTGGTTATTCAGGAATTGTTATCAGATACTGTTCCACATTGCAGTGGATAATCACATATTATCAGATACTATTCTACATTTCACTAGCCATTCATACATTGTTATCAATCACTGTTCCACGTTCTGGTAGTTTTTCAGGCATTATTAGCAGGAACTGTTCTACAATCCGGTAGTTAATTTGGCATTATTATCAGATACTGTTCTGCATTTTTGGAGGTAAACAGGTATTATTAGATATCGTTTTACATTTTTGTTGTTATTCAGGCATTACCATGTATTGTTTTGCGTGTGGAACATGTAACAGATACATCATTAGAGAATCAGGGAACCTTAGTAATGCTAGCAAAGGTACCCGAGATAAGCATAGCATATTTTTCATTGGTTTACTGAAGATGGCGTGCATAGTATCAATCGCTTGCAACAAGACAGAAGTAGGATGGGAGTGGAGAGATTAAAATAACTGACAAGCTCTCAATAATAAGAAAATGAATAAGGTAAGGGATTTTAGAATCCCTTTGGAATCTGCCCAAGAACCCCTGAAAGTTTCGTGATGATCAGAAGTCGCGAAGATGGAAACTTTTCACCATGAACAAACAGACATACAGACACAAAAATAGGTATAAATCATATAGTTTTTAACACAAAAGCCTCATTTCATTCCTTCTTGCGCGTATAAATTGTGCAAATATGGAAATGAGCATCAGTACATATTTTTTATTTTCATTGACTTCATATTTAGAAGAAAACAAAAATATATTTACGTTAATTCAATACGGCACTACTGATTTTTTAAATATATTTACGTTAGTTCAATACGGCACTACTGATTTTTTAGTTATTTATATCATTAAGTACGTAATATTTTCTAGATACTTGCAAGTATCTCTCTTGTCGAATTTTACGTAGAACCAATTGTAATACGGCTCTACTTTACGAAGATTATCAAATCATGCGAAACCTGTACTAAAGGACATACATTACGTAGTATCCGTTGACAAATTAAATCGTGTGATATCTCCAATTCGAATGGTCGAATCATGTCAGGTTTCATTCTAGAAACATCAAACCCCGCGAAATCTCTCCATAGAACATCTAATAATGCGGAATCTTTGGTTAGAGGGAACAAGTTATAAGACATCTCTCACTGGAAGAAATAAATTGCAAAACTTCTTTTGTTAAAGTATTTAAATTGTGTAATATCTCTGGTTAAAGGAATCAGTCGTAAAATCTTTAGCTGAAAGAACACCTCTGGTTATACGTAAGTCATGTCAAACCTCCAGTTTGAAAAATTGCGTTATAAACACTAAATATCTTTGTACAATAATAAAGCACTTCTATACATTTAATTTCAGACACTGAGAAGAAACGGTTCTGTTTGCCATCATAATATACATTAAGAATAAAACCTGTTGGCTCAAGAAAAAAGAAAGAGAAAAAAACAACACTTAGTTACATTGGATGCTGCGAAACAACTTAAATTCTATGTATTTTCTAGGTATTTTCTTGGTTTGTTCCTTAAATATAATTAACTTGAGACATGTAGAACAAATATATCAATTTCAGAGTACTTTTTATTTCAGACACTGAGAACAAACGTATATACCTCAATACTATATATATATATATATATACATATACATATATTATTCCAAACAGATCAAACGTACCTATTTCAGCAGTGTGCTATTTTATTTCAGACGTTAAAAACAAACTTGTATTTCTCAACAGTATATATTTTATTCCACACACTAAGACGTAACGTGCTTTCCTCAACAGTGTATTTTTAATGTCACACATTAAGAACAAAGTGCTTTCCTCAACAGTGTATTTTTAATGTCACACATTAAGAACAAAGTGCTTTCCTCAACAGTGTATTTTTAATGTCACACATTAAGACGTAACGTGCTTTCCTCAACAGTGTATTTTTAATTTCAGACACTATAACTAGTATATATCAAGTACTACTTGTAGACAGTAAAATAAACCAGTGATTCTTAGCTTTTTCACTATAGTGACTAGCAATACCTTTACAAAACCCGACCTTTTCACTCCACGGACCGAAAATACCTTTATAAAACTCAGCCTTTTAATCTAACTGCCTGGCAACATCTTTACAAGACCCAAACTTTTGACACCATAGATCGGCACCATCTTTCCAGAACCAAAACATTTCACTCCACGAACCTCAACATTATAATAACAAATCTTACGGACTGGTAAGAATCTATAGGCCTATAACGTTGTTTCATAATTCACCTTCGAGAAACTATACGCGGAAGTTATGAGGTTTACTTAATGAAACAGACTTTTCACCTATTCCTAATTCGAATATTTCACAAAACTTTTTCTTTCCTTTTTTTTTTTCACTGGATGTTTCTATGGACTGGTACGGAGGAACCGCTTATGTATATTTGAGTTCAGCATGTTTCTTCTCAGCATTGTAGATTTGGTTCCAAATTTTCAAATATAGAAAATGTTTATCTCACCATTTTGAATTCAGTCTCTTTCTGTCGTAACTTCTCAAATTTCTTATAAGTCATTTTGGCTTGTTATAGTAGTATTATCATAAAGCACACATTATTCTAGATCTTGTTTTTTCTTTCATAGGTCGTTTATATATATTTGTAATGCATAAATCGCCAAGTTATAACAATTCAGTAGTGCTGCAGTAAATGTCATGTAAAATATTCAGGTTCATTTCTAGGGAAGTACAAAAACTTGCAATTCAGTTTTTTTTTCACAAGTTTGTTTATCTAAAGAAATTGACAGTACACATTTAGTGCTTTATGTTTCTTATTTTTTTTACTTTGTTTCTAGGATCAAAATATGCTAGTTCAGAATGATCTGCTTCAAGTACAAAAACTAATTATCTCAAGTTATCTTTATCGGAACATTATTAAATACAAACAACAGAAATAAACTCAAATGAAAACCCACCCACCAACTGTAACCTAACTCTTTGGATAACCAGGTCTTCTCCCATAAAAGTTCAATAATTTATAAATTATTCTATTTTAAACTGTATCCTAATGAATTAAACATTCACATTTCAAGATGTTATTAAGAAACTTGAGTATAAGATTCAATTTTGTCTGAAACATTTGTAACAGATGACATAAAATCTTACATAGACGTTACATGAACGATAACCAACGACACCTACATTACATATAAAACAACAACAAAATACAAATACAATTTTTGATTTGATGAACAAAAATCGTTGTGAAGTACCAATTTCTTCTATCAAGAGTAAAATGAAACAGATGTAAAGTCTTAGTATACCAATGTGTTGGTTCTGTTTCTCAACAACATAAAGAACACTTTTTAAACACTAAACACTCTGTATACATTATATAGCTATACAGCTCAGTGTTTATTATAAAAGAAACAAATTATCTAGGACGTATTTGATACAGCTACTGAACAGTAATCATTTTCTAAATACATTGTATACATTCTGTAACAGTACAGCTCAATCGTTGTTACTTACGAAACAAATTATTAGATTATGTTTGATACAGTTTCCTGAACCATAATCACTTTTTTAATACCAAGCACGCTATATACATTCTGTAACAGTACAGCTCAATCGTTGTTACTTACGAAACAAATTATTAGATTATGTTTGATACAGTTTCCTGAACCATAATCACTTTTTTAATACCAAGCACGCTATATACATTCTGTAACAGTACAGCTCAATCGTTGTTACTTACGAAACAAATTATTAGATTATGTTTGATACAGTTTCCTGAACCATAATAACTTTTTAATACCAAGCACGCTATATACATTCTGTAGCAGTACAGCTCAATCGTTGTTACTTACGAAACAAATTATTAGATTATGTTTGATACAGTTTCCTGAACCATAATCACTTTTTTAATACCAAGCACGCTATATACATTCTGTAGCAGTACAGCTCAGTGCATGTTACTTAATAGACAAATTATCTAGACATTATTTGATACAGTATCCTGAATAATGATTACTCTCTAAACGCGCTGTATACATTCTGTAGCAGTACAGCTCAGTGGACATTACGTAAGAAAAAATTATTAAGATTGTATTTGATACAGTATCGTGAACAATAATCACTTTAGACAAAATAACTTATGATAATGAAACAATATTACACTTTTTAAAACGTTGATGAGATAATACATATTATTGCAATGCGAGATATCTGTAATAATTAATTAAAACATTTTTATGGAATGTAAAGAATTCAGCCTTAAAAACAATCGGCTCGTTATTTGACATTTTAAGCCAAGTCCCCCGATGTAACATAAACTACAACTAGGCATTAAAGAACTTTGATTATAGGTATATATAATTGTTTACCGTCAAACGAATGTTTCAGTGACATGACTCAAAAAAGACCACGCATTAATGAAAGAAATTGGTTTGAGCTAATTGTTGTGAAGTTCGTTCGAGCATCTATCACTAAGTCGAGGCAACATTTAATTAGGCTTTCGATTCTCATGTTTCGTATTCCAGGATGGAATAGTAACACTGAATAATGTGGAATGTATAGCAACATTACTGATCACAATACGTTTGGCAATAACAGTTAGAAAGGAAGGATCTCGAATGAGATAAAATGTTAATTTTTTCACATAGCGTGATAGTTACTACTTTCCAAGGATTTAGCTTTACAAGCCTCTCACCCTCGTTTTTTAAGCAATATAAATTTAATGGAAATAAAATTATCTTAAAAAGTATAAAAAAGAAATAAAATGCGAAAAGTTAACACCGCATGCACATACAAGATTGAAGAAAAATGTTGAAGTTATGTAATAGTGTGAAATATAAATCAATCACGATGAATTTTACAAACTAGCAATAAATCATTTGGTTAAAAACTTGAAAGGAGCCAGAAAGTGGTTAATTTTAACGTTTACAAGAACTAAAGTATTCGAAATCGTTTCCAAGTTCAAAGTACAATGACTGCTACGTTTACGAGGAAAATAAGGCGGAGTTGAAGAAATACTAGGATCAATGCAAAAGAGGTTGAGTCGACTGCCAAGGTTATTAAAAGCTACACAGAACACAGCAAGTGGAGTTTGATGCTTGGATACAATAAAGTAAAAACTGAGGAAAGACAATTTACAGGGCTGAAGTCGGACCTGTGACGAACCAGACTGTTTTTCTTCCTAAAGTCACAAGCCTCACAGAAAGCTGCAGACCCAGTTGCTCTGAAGTCACACCCTAATAGCAATTCTCTTAATCCTTGAGTAGCTTGGTAGCTCTCTGATTGGCTACTGTGATTCGTGACTCGTTCGATGTTGCCTAGATACAGAATAGAATGGATTATTAGATCAGTGTCTCGGCTTGGTTTCTTTTGCATCTCCTTTACAACAGAAAAATGGTAGTGTAAGTGCAAAAGTGGGACTGTGGAAGTGAAGCAACAAAATCATAACTCATTGGAGGAAAACCACTCTTAACTCTATAGATATTTCTTAAAGGGTAAATATACAAAATAAAGTGAACCAAACAGAAGTACGCGAATTGGGTAGAAAAATCGGCTCCATCAATTACACTAGACAACAAAAAATTCGCTACTGGATAAAACTCAAGTGATTCGGAGTAATTTGATGATGTTGATTTGAAAATTGAGTCCATCACCTCTAGATTTTGAGTTATTGTAGTAAATCAATATTTTATCAGCACTATGTAAAATACCATGCAATCAACTCAGTACAATAGATTTATGCTGTGAATTTACGTATACTCGGACAGTTTAATGGGTAAAAGGCATACATTTTTAATAACTTGAAACGCTGACTGTATTGTATTGGTGTAAAATTCCAAATATATTGTTCATATATGCTATTTATTCTCGATATAGCTGTAGGTAATTGCACCACTTTTGATTCATTCACACGCTCACCTGCTCCGCCTGGAAATCACAAACCCTCATGTGTCCAGTTTGCTAGAACATTCGAGAAGTCTCTTGACTGAGCATAAAAGGGGCGGAGTCAGACACCTCTCTCTCTCTCAGTTGCCCCTCACTCACTCAGTTGGTCACTTCACCTCGCTCCATGCACAGTCTAAAAAGTCCGATCTTCTTCCTCGCATCATACCCGCGATTTAATCAAATTCTGCAAAACTTTTTTTTTTCAAATCTTTTAACCTCTAGATACGTAAACATAACTTATTTTATATTTTTTAAAAAATCATTTGAAATGCTGGCTGCTTCCAGTTCGAGTAAAATCTGAAAGTGCAAAAATGACCCAAACAGTTCCTGGTACGTTTGTGAAAATATATTACAGTTTCATGAAGGAAAAACATCATACACAAAGTAAAGGTAACTTATTACCACTATTTTGGGTGTAAAATTGGTGACCAAGAAAAACTCTGGGCTCCACATATGTGTTATACAATTTGCACATCTGACTTGACACAGTGGCTGAATAAGAAGAGCGCAAATATGCCATTTGTAGTTCCCATGATATGGCATGAGCCCAAATGTCATCTAACTGACTGTTATTATTGCATGAATAATGTTTCTGGATATTCAGACAAAACTAAACTATACATTAAATATTTAGATTTTGCATTTTATTTTAGTCTATTGGAAAGAAAAGAAATGCTGCTGACATTAATGAAATGGCGAATAAGATCAAACCCACCAGTAAAACAGAAAAAACGACAGTTAGGTTCCTCTACTATTATACAATACTGTTATACTATTATCTCATGCCTATTCCATTGGCTCTATCAACTTATGAGAATAATTTGAATATTCATATTCGACAGTTCAAGGAATTTGGAAAACGAAAACTATATCCAACCAAGGAAGGTATACTTCTAAGTTACTGCTTTCTGTTTTTTTTTAATTATCTAGAACTCACATATTTGTTATTTAAATATAACTTTACACATATAACTTACCAAGATCTATACATAGTATAAATTCTTGAAGGTGTAATTGTTTAGACATATACAAAAAAACTGCATCACCCATCTTACAGTTTGTGCTATATTCTTCAAATTTATCCAAGTGGTAAGTTCTTCTGGCAAGGTTGATAATCTTTGATATTTACAAATAACATAAAGAGAAATATGTATAGATTATAAAACACTAGACTGTCAAGATTAAATTAACTTCTATACAAATCTGGTACATTTCAATTAGTGTACAATTCTTGTGTACTTTCTACTCAGTTAGACTCTCTTACTTACCTTTGTTCATTAGTCACACGTATGTCAATGACCACTACTTGAGAAACAATAATGTAACGAAAGCTAAAACTAATATGTTTCATCTAATATATAACAACACGAAACACTATTTGTGGCTCTTCTACGATATAAAGGATGGAGAATGTGTTAGAGCTTTGTTGTATTATTCTATTATTGGAACAATAAGTACCGTGGATTTTAATGTGGAAGTTTTCCAATATGGTGATACACTTCTAAGTTGATAAAATGTTTGACGTACAAGAAAAGATATACCTATCCCTTAGATGAAATCAGTTTATCAAGAGCATTCATATAAATTCACATAAACACCATGCCAGATATTCATCAACATGATAAGATTTATCTCTAGAGACCATCGTTTAAGGGCCATGCATATTATAATTAAGTTAGTATTATTCCTACCCTACAACATGATAATATAATGAGCAAAAATAAAAAATAAGGGACCCATGTTTGACGTCAGACATCCCGGTCTCATGCCAAGGATCTGTAGAAACTTCAGCTGAGTTTATGTATTAGTGCAATAATGGCGGCCATCTTTTCATTTCATTCCTCCATAGAGAGTGCTAGCATACTCTCTGTGTGCATGTTGTGTTACATAATTTGTGTGTGTGTGTGTGTGTAAGGACGTGGCACCATCTATAAATGTAGTTAACATAAATTTACATCGAAGATAATATATGCTCATTAACAGCAATAATGGAGATGGAAAGGATTGTGATCCTCCAATAGCATGTATCTTTTTCTAAACTATCATCCACAAAGTTTGGTTGAGATTGGCCCAGAGACCTAGGAGTAGTTAGATAATGGACAGACAAACATACACACAGATTTTTGTGCTTTATGTATGGTAAAAACCTTTCAAATGTACATTACGTGCATTAGTAACATTAGCTTCCTAAAGAAACACATGTAAATAAAAAATAATTTGAGACATGTTGAAATTTGTATACAATCCTAGAGAATATCGTCCGCCTTTGTCAAACACACACAATATATCTTCAAGACCATTCACCTATAGAAAAACTTTTGTAAATCATATGTCATAGAACACATAATTACATCTAGACATTGGTGACACATTAAAAACAATTTGCCTTTAGTAACATAATGCATTTATAGAACCCTAGTAACACCACCTGTTTTTGTAAAACATACGTCTGCGAAAACTAAGTAAGATGTGCAAAATCTAATATTCTGTTAAGTAGATTCCGTTTGTTTGTAGTTAAGCACAAAGCTACACAAAGGGCTATCTGTGCTCTATCCACCACAGGTATTAAAACCCGATGTCTAGCATTGCAAGTCCGCAGACATACCGTTTTGCTACTGGGGGGCTTGTCAAGTAGAATAAAACTTATTAGAGGAATAGCTTAAAACCAAACCAGTGAAAGTGCAGACTTGTAGTGTTAAATAATGGTTTTACTTGTAACGTTTAAGACAAAATACTTAAATCTAGACATTGGTGACATGTTGAACTACATCATCCTCTGGTGTTTTGCTCGCGATCTTTCTGCACTCCTACTGGAGCGACCACGTGGCGTTATGGTGTCACCATCTCTTCCCCTACCCATCTGTCATGGCGGCCTTGCAACGCGCCCTCTGGTGAGTAGCATTCAAACTACACGTATTTTGTATATTACAGGTGTATATTACGTAATAGTTATGTAAAATTACTTTCGTCTCCTCTCACCTGGCGAACCCACACCGAGGCAGCATCCTTTGAGTGGTCAAGTATCCCGGTAAAAACTCAGTATATATAATAACAGTTTGAATAAATTTATCATAACTCGAAAACTAGAGGCAATAACTAATTTTCAACATGATTTTTAGAATCAGCATCATCAACTTACTCTGAAGCAGTTGCATTTTTTCTAGAACATTTTATTGTTGCCCATTGTTATATATGAAACCAGGAGAAAAGTTAATTAAAGTAGATAAAAAATAAAAGAAGGTTGTTTGTTTGAAGTTAAGCACAAAGCTGCACAATGGGTTATCTGTGCTCTGCCCACCACGGGTATCGAAACCCGGTTTTTAGCACTGTAAGTTGGCAAAGGGAAGTGAGTGTGACATTTTTTTATTAATTTTGTTTGAGCTATTTGTCTAGTAAAATAATATGTTTTATAATACCTGTGAAGTACAAAGTAAAGTATAACGTTTTTTTAATAAAAGAAATTTAAAATCAGACAGATACATTCATCAAATCTTAGCGAATAATTCTAGAGGATTTGATATATCAAAATTCCAAAATCCAGAACATCCTATTTTTGGGAATGCAGATTTTATAATCTCAAATAAACACTGGAAACGTTTTATAAAAGTACAGAAAGTCATTATGAACCGAATTACGGGAACAAGCGCCATCTTTCAATACTTTATCATTTCCTTCATTCAAACTTAATCTCTTCTAGTTTTGGGGTCGGCCACTCAGGTATTTTGTATCAGCCAAGTATTTCTACAATCAGGTGGCTGGCAAGAACCCTAAAGAATGAGCATGTTAAATGACAGGGATCGAGCCCATGCGTTACGAGTCAAGCATCCTAACCACAATGCCATGACAAGTCTATCTCTCAACGCCAGCAATGAATATTCATAAGCCGGTAATGAAGAAATTGACTACTTACCTTCTGGTTGATCCTGTCCAGCTGCTTGTTCTGAGATTCGATTTCACTTCCCATATCGATGGCCATGTTACGCAAATTTCCAACCATCGTGTTCACCTGCTGCATGTTCTCTTCCATTTCTTCCTCGTGAGCATCGTTGGTTATCCTGAAAGGAAGATAGCGTCAAACCTAGCCATTAAAAAGTAAGTACTGCCTTAATTTGTTAGTGTATAATAATTGTTTAATCTTTTTCTCTGCTATTAAAAGTGTTGACTGAAATAGTGTTTGATCACTTATCAATCTCAATCAAAAGGACAGATTATCTTAAACTGTTTGTAAAAAAGAAGGAAACTTATCTTTCATCACTCATACACCATCAAGTCTACCTACTATTGTCATAACCAAAATAGTAACTAACTTCACCATTCGATAACTAATATGAAATGTCTTTTAGTGAGGCACATTCAGCTAGTTTCTAAAGTTCTATGTAGTTTGTGGATGCTGTTAACTACAACAAAATTGTCTGGATGGCAAGTTCTGTCCTGTTCCTGTCCTTGATCAAACAATCAGAGAGCAGTAGCACAAAAACCATGCCAGTTTGATAATAAGACAAACACTTTTGTGTAGGGAAATAATTTTTATATTTTGAATTTAACATGTAGACTTTTGTTGTCCATGTTCGATTTATTTATTTAGTAGTTCTGAACCTAATATTCATGGGGTTTTTGAGTTATTTTTAATACAACATACAGTAATCTAAATTAATTTAGGTGTGTGAATAATGTTATTGCATTGTGCCTAATTCATTATTTGATATTATGCAGCAAACCAACTGCTTAATGATTATGTATATATATATGTGTGTGTGTGTGTGTGTTACAGATTTATTTTTTCACCGAAAGTAAAATTGAAAAGAGAACTTGTAACGTAGAGGCCTAATGCATTTCTTAATTGTGTGTACCTACTGTTGTGGAGTGCATTTTCGCCTATGCAGTTTCAAGGTTCACTAGGAAAAGCTTAGTTCAGCAAACCAAAGAGATACAATCAAGTCTTTATAAAGTTGAAATGACACACTACATTTTGCTAAAGTTAACTGGTACTATCAGGTGACAATAAATGCTACTTAACCTTAAATGCGACGTTAAAACCATCAGACGACAAAAGTTTCCTCTAGATGTTAAACGTGATGTTTCGTTAGCGTTAACGTAGTACTATCAGTTTCTACTATACCCTAATTTAAAGCTCAATACTATATCTGAACATAGGTACCCTTTGAAATAAAAAATATATCTGCTCATATAAAACAACAACTTAGTATAGTAGATTTGACACACATCAGCTTGCATCAGGTCAACTATATTCATCACCTATATCAACTCTCATCAGCTCAATTATATTCACGATGCATATCAGATCTCATCAGTTCAATTATATTCCGACCCATATCATATCTCACCAACGGATTAGCTTTAATCATGACCCCTAGCAGCTCTCACCAATTCAATTATATTTTGGATAGGGAATGTTATCAAAATGTGGTTTATTGTATTATGAGACTTGTTATTCAATGAGACCAAATGTTTACTCCATTGCAAAATTGACAAAGTGCTAAATACCATCAGATAACCTCCAAACCTTTGCCACTGTAAGAGTGAGACATTATATGCATAAAAGCAGTTATCAGGCTTGTTCAGACTCATGCACTGATTGGCTGCCTCAGGCGATGGGGAGGGGGAAGGCATAAAGACGATGATGTCACAAAAAACGATGACGTCATAGTTCCAAGAATTGGAAACACAATCATGATGAGATAATCATACAAATCTCAACATGTAATCAGTGGTTAGATTTAATATAGTTACTTTATGTATAAAATACTAATTCATTAGTTCTATATTTAATCATACATTTTTACATTTCCTGAGCTTTTATATGTACATCACTTACATCCTGAAAATGATGTTTATTTAATCTTTTTATCACATCTATTGTTTTTATAGATATTGAACAATTTGATGATTTAGCATACAGTTTGTAGTTTTTGTTCTATAACCTTTTACATTTACGTCCTGAAAAGGACGCTTTTTAACATACAAACCTACTATGCACAAATAATGCATGTTTCACTATCTTTAATTTTAAAATCTAGTTAATCATTTTATTAAATAATGAATGTGTTTAATCACTACTATAAAATAGCAACACTTTTTTTTATAAATCTTTGAGGACAGATATAAGTGAATTTTCTTCTACATTAGAGATGTAACTGACCTCACATTCGTGTTCAAAACTACAATGTCAAGTAGGAAATACAAAGTTGAATATATGTGTGTTCTTTCTAACCGACATCATTAACAGTGAAAGCAAACAATAGAAAGGTTAACACATACAATCACTAAATGAAACTTAACCCTTATTGACTCACAACTTATAGTTTGTCGACCTTTTACTAAGAATACAGTGGGTTGATGGAATTAAAAGTTTAGTTTGGTCATTAGCATTGTTGATATTTAGTTTGATGACCTTATGGAGGAAACATTTCATGACAAAAATTATTCTAAGCCAACCAACTTCTGACCGATTGTTGTAAAATGTTGTTGAAATATAAGAATTAGACTCTATCGTTCATAAACTGTATAAATTCTTAAATATTGAGTTGAAATGAACAAGTATTAATGTAGACAAAAGTTGTATTAAAGCTAATCCATTATTTTATAACCTAAGACAATTACATAAATGGTGGTGTATATTGAAGTTTTGTTAAGTCAGTAAGTGTGACATCAGTTTTATTTAGAGTTTGTGAATTTATTTACATACATTGATAAACACATTTTTAGAAACATGGAGTCTAATTGAATACAAAAAATATAATTAACTGAAATGCGTCAATACACATTTAGTGTTTTGTAAAGTGGACATTTATGTAGAGTTTAAACAATTTATTTTCAATATTAAATAGCAACATTAATTGATTGGTCATGTGACTACCAGTTTACATATTTAAAATATCATGCCATCTACTTACTTTTTGATTTTCTAACCCTTCATCCTTTTATTTATGATAAAACTATTTTTACTGTGCTTCATTATTTCTGTAGTTTCCATAATATATCCAGCTGTTATATTATTGGGTTGAGCCAAAATGACAGCCTTTTCCCAGTGGATAACATGTTAAGCTAGTGCAGAATTTCCACTTATATTTTTTACATTTCTCTTGTGTTCATTTACTCTACTCTCCTAGTGGCACAGTGGTATTCTGCAGACTTACAATGCTAGAAACCGGGTTTTGATACCCATGGTGGGCAGAGCACAGATAGCCCATAGTGTAGCTTTGTGCTTAACATCAAACAAACAAATAAAAATCATTTACTCTAAATTGTAATTCTTTTCTAGTTTGACCAATATAAACACCACCATATTCATATTCAATTTTATAAATACCCATTTTCTCGATTACATTGATTTAATGACCCAAATTTGTTTATTGCAAAATAGATTTGACCAACCCAGAAGTGACCTTTGTCATGTCTATCAATGACCCATTCAGTTGCTATTCATATGACATATAGCAACACTGTTTCAAAATATGTTACTTTCGAAACATTATAGCATAAGATATTCAAAATAATAATTAGACTTAACTTGTGACCAAACAATACCATTCAAGTGTATAATGAAATATCATACATTTCACATCTTTAAGTAGATATTAAAGGTAGAATTGAATCGATTTTTAGTATATAATTCTTTGTATTGTATAATGAAATCTCATACTTTTCACATGTTTATGTAGTCTAAGTAAATATTAACTTAGAACTGAATCGATCTTTCGTTTTGACCCATGTCTCATGACTTTTGGTAGAACAGTGTATATCAAAATACTCAACAATCAACGTTATGTAGTATACAATTAATTTTTTTTACTTAAAAAACCGATCAACAGTCATAAAAAAGAAACCCCACATGTTGCAAATGCTGTGCAACATATAAATACGAAAAAGGCATAATTATGAATAAAACATGTCTTTATTCCAAGAAATTAATAGCATGATGGTCCGCTTTGGCCTTAATGACCTCTTCAATGCACTGTAGAAGACTGTCTACTAAATTCTGGTAAAAAGCTAGTGATATTGGGCTTCACTCCTCCTTCAAAGCATTAGTAAGCTCCGCTACTGAAGAGGGCCATCTTGGCCTTGCCCTAATTCTACATCCTAGTTCATCCCAAAGATGTTCTAATGGGTTGAGGTCGGGGTTCTGTGCTGGTCACTGAATGTTCCAATGCTATTCTCTTCAAACCACGCGTTCACAATCCTTGCTTTGTGATATGGAGCATTATCATGTTGGAAGGTGTAAGGGCTGGTAACATAAATATTGCTGCAGTGTAGGTTGGTTGGTTGGTTGTTTGGTGCTTTATGGCGCAAAGCAGCGAGGCTATCTGCGCCAAACAACCGGT